AGACCTCTGAATAACCATTAACGACCGGCCCAACTGGTTTGCTGTCGGGTTTGCGGTCAATGAACTCGGTGCCAATTTTTTTATCGCGCAGAGTGGGCGGTGCGATAACGTTTCAAGAACACAATAGGTTCTGGAACCAAAATCCCTTAGCACGGCTACCTACTTGCAGGATAAAATTCCGCAAGCTATAAGCACGCCTTAAATAGCCCCAGGAACCTCGCACTATCTGTGTATGTGTGACTTACTAGCTACTAATGCAAACTACCATGCATACACGCAGCGTATCTTGCGTATCGTGGCGCTCTGCGACTTCCGTATTGAAAATGGGGACAAAAATGAAATTTGAACAGTGCACTTAAGTACAGTAAGTAGAACACATACATTGTGTACACTACATATTTCTAGCTAATTGACGCCGCCTTCGCTGCGCTTAGCAGCCAGTAGAGCGCGCGTATTTGCGCTAAAAACAATAACTTTAGCCGCGTACGGACTGACCGTCAGACAACACACTTCACTAGGGGTAAATAAGCCGGCCGCTGCCGCTACGCGGCGTGGTGCATGGTCTGTTGAAGATGAGGTAGCCGCAAATGTAAGTTCTTCTTAATGTCGCGTGCATTGTGAGCGTCGCTCACCCCAGTAGGTCTTGGCTTCGTGTACCGAACCACTTACCATTCCGTAGTATCATGTAGACCCGTATCATATAGTGGTCTCGTACGCTTCGGTTACCACGTACTACAGGTTGGATGTCATGTTCTTCAATGACCCGTGCTCTTCCGTGCTCTTCCTCGCTTCGTGTTTCTCTGCTCACCCGTGGCCCATGCTGCTTAGCGGTTATGCACCCTCTCTTTCAAGTTTATGCTCTTTAGTACGGCCTCTTTTGTGGCTGCTAACAGTTGCCTGTTCTCAAACGCTTACGTGGGTTGCACCGGTTTCGTGGTATGTAGTCTGTCGGCCTCTTATCGCCGATACATTAGCCGAAAGGTGCTTTTCCGTTGTTTAGTGCCTCCACGCAGTCGTGTTACTCCGTCGCCCGTGTATCGTGCTTTCCTGGTGAGGTTCCATCGACCGCGCTATCACGCTTTTCTGGAATCTCGGTGTGGCAATGATGTATATGGGATGGTGCTCGCGTAGTGCATCTGCGTTACCCGTGCTATCGGGATTCACAATCGCATCGTGCTCCCCGGTGTGCAATCGTGGTCACCCCAAGCGTCCCCCCCCCGTAAATTTTGTGGCTGGTCCACCGTCCGTCCAATCTTTTTTTTTTCATGTACTACTGTCCTCCGTGGCTCGGTAAGCGCATGCTCTACACTGGTATCGTGTTCCATGGCTCGTTGATTTCCCGTCGATAGCTTCCGTGGCTGCTTGGCCCCACAGTTTAGTGATTGGGCCACCGTCCATGCCAGTGTGTTCTCCGTAGCTACGTGGCTGGTCTGTCGTCTAGGCAATCATGTTCTAATGTAGTATCGTATTCCGTGGCTCGGGAAGCTCAGGTTCTACACTGGTATAGCTCTCCGTGGCTCGGTGCTTTACCGCTCATCCTCTTGCCGTGCGACTTCAAGTCACAGGTCGCATGCCAGTCCAGAAGGATAGCGGGAGCCGTGTTCAAGACGGTTGCCACTGCTCTGACTCGGGAGAGTGGAATAAGTAAGTCGTCTAAACATTATATTTGCGTCTGTTTCCTAATCGCAGTCTCAACATAATTAATCCTGGTAGTACATCAGGCTTACACGTTGTACGGACAGCCATATAGGGATTAATTCGTGCTTGTAGACCACATTACGTGTAAATCGTCGGGAGCTACAAATTGCAAGTGCAAGTGCCTTTAGATTGTAAAGCTTTCATTCGCTTTGACAAGTCATGTTTTAAAGGCCGAAATTAAGTTTAGCGCTAAACGGTACAGTCGCACGCTCACTGATGGATCTGTAGCGGGCAAAACCCGATCTAAAGATTGGCGTGATCCATCAAGATAGATCTCATTAATCTTGTGCGTGGTTTGACTCGAGACTCGGTCTTGGAAGCTTACTGTGCTGCTGCAGTGTACCTGCTGTGGTCATACGTCTCGTGACAAAAACACGAGGTGTGAAGGTTGCGCTGTTTTATTTATGATGCTCGAATCTCGACATCAAGACGGAGGTCAAGGAAGCGTATGGAGACGAAGCGAGATATCGTGAAAGGTGTCAGCGCGCGCAGCGAGGATCCCTACGCGACATATGGATACGACAGCGAGTACTTCGACACTCCAGAGGAATACGAGTCCGGTCTCTCTCTCCCTCCTAAATTTCCTTGAGCTCGTCAGAGATCAACTCGTGCAGCGCGTCCGTCTCAGAGCTCACACTCAAAGTCGCCACTCCTCGCGACTCCGCCGCTGCTTCACCTCTTCCAGCAGACTGATCCACACCCATCCACGGATCCCGCGAGACTCTCACTCTCGCACCCGTCCCAACCGTTCCACAGCAGCAGGAACTGACACAAGATGCTCGTCGACACCGCCGTCAAGGCCGTGGTCGAAGACACTCTCTTCTTCGTCATTACTAAACACATCTCCCTCGACCAATGTCGATACCCTCAATTACCAATACTTGTTTACTCTAAATTCATTTCTTCTCTCTGCGTCTCTTCCTCGCGTCAATAATTCTGCGCGGCACCAACGGCAATCTCTCCACACTTTTGCTGGAACAGGAGGCTTACGCCTCAGTCACCGTACGATGGCATTCAACATCTCCCTTCTGGTGCGTCTAGGTCTGAGAGGACAGCGTCTGCGATCCAGTTACAATCTTATCACCACTCACACGACGGATCAAGCTACTTCACAGCGTAAACAGTACCCTGCTTCTCCACCACGTATCGCGAGTCGCCCAGGAATGGGACGCTTGCGCTGATCAGCGGTAGCGATCTCTAGACGTGCGGGGCAAAACGTAGTCATCCAAGTCGACACAAAGAGCAATATAAGTAAGATAAAGCGAAATCCATTAAGTCAACTCGGGGTTTCCAGGTAAAATTCACGACTGACCAAACTCACCTCGTCACCCTTACCGTATCCCTACTCAGTCAAATCGCACGTCAGCACATCCTTGGGTACACTGTTGGGCGACGTTCCTACCCTCGTTTCACTGTCCTTCGCATACGCTGAGGTAATGCCGTAGTCCGTGTCGTCCGTCCCAGGGACCTTGTCCATCGCTGTGACGACAGGTAGTAACATGACCTTGGATGCACCTTCGACGGCGTACTTAACTGGCAGTGCTGTTCCCTCTCCACACTTCACGTTAATGCGACGGGGTTCGGCACCAATCCTGGCAGCGAAATCCAACAATGTCAGAGCTGATTCGGGCGGCCCGACAGCCGCTCATCCTCTTGCTTGCGACTTCAAGTGGCTGGTCGCAGGTCACTAAAAGGGGGGGACGGGAACCGCTCCCATGACGGTTGCCACCGTTCTCACTCGGGACACAACTCAAGTTTGGTAATTAGCTAATTGGGGAACCCAGCTCTCGGACGATATAATATTCTTATGGATACAATTTCTGGAAAAAAGTATAATTACGATATGTAGAATCAAAAGCTGTTTTAGTCAGAGCCAGAAGTTGTTCAAGAGATACAGCGATTATTTGAAGTTGTATCGCTTCATTGGATATCATGCCAAGACAAAATGTCAAAATTTACATCGAGGTAGACCAAGCTCGCGACAGCTTTATTCGTTAATCTCTGTTGCGTAGAACATCTTTGATTGAACGTGCACGCAATAGCGCAAATCTGTTAAGGACTTGACTTCCGGTGTCATGACGTATTATTACAGGTCATCCAGAGCGACACAGCTATTAAAAGTATTAAAAGTAATGGTGTCCATATAGCGTTTTGGCTATTAAATCCCTGAGAGATTTTCTAGCCACACGGTGGGTTTTTCTTGTTCGTTTTAGATTTTTCGTGTAAGATGGCTAGAGCTCGATGTGCTTAAAACATTCGATCCTTTGTCGTAGATAAACCCTTCATTTTTGGAGTCGGGGCGACCAGAGCATCCAGAAGCGACTGGACGCACTTGCGTCCTCGGATGTCGCTGAGTCCACGAAAGGAGCTACCTCAGTTAATGTAGCTAAAGAAAAATTCGGGTTTTATGCTTTTATTTAGGGAGGGGTCAGAAAGTGCTTCGCTGTCTAAAAAACTATCGCAGAATAAATATGATAAAAAGCAAGCACTTAGGAGATATGAAATCTCCTCTAACTCCGCAGTCACAACATGGCTCAAATCTATTGTGCCGACTTCCCTTACCCCCAACAAGAAAAATTTAAGAAAAACTAAGCACCAAAATTTGATGGCCTTGCTTGGCCTCAGTTTTGGTAGATGCTCCTGTGAGCATATATAGAAATTTATTCCTGTATGAGCTCTCTACAACCGTACTAGCAACTCTTCGCTAAACCTACGCGTTATTGCATGATCTGCTGTGTTGTACGGTGTCTGGAATGATTCCCCGGAGAGTGTTTTGTCAATTATGTTAAGGACAGAAATCGACAAATGTGATAGTATAATCAAGTATAATTTTAATTCCATACAAAGTGGCGTCGGGTGTCTCAACTATCATATCAGACAGAGGCAATTGCGCTTGGCGCGCTCGATTTTTGTCCTTATAATCTTTAGGACAAAATCACTCAGAATTTTACGATCTTGCATCTTATTTCGTTCTCATTTTAAGGACAGATTTTGTTGGGGCTATCTACATTCTTCCATCAACTATGCAAAAGGTCAACCGTTTTGGTGTGCATTGCTTTGCCTCTACATAAATTAAAATCTGTGCATGTCCAATAATACTGCAAATGTACGCTAGTTAATATGAGTCCATATTATACTTCTCTTTTTTTTTAATAAGCTAGTTCCAAGCGTTTTGCCCCGTTAATGAAATGCATTGCTCACGTTATATCCAAAAACGACACCTGCTGCCACTGAGACACGGGCCACATCAGCAAAAAACAATCCTGACTACAGCTTCATTTTGTGTTTTGAGACCATAGAAAATGAACATTTCCTTCGCTCGGTTGCAAGCTTTCCGCAGTACTCGTGCAGTGATGGAGCAACCGAAAGTGCCCGTGTCAGTGCCGACGGGACCAAGAGCCAAGAAGCGTTTTATCATGGTGTCTTCACGCGACGTCGAAATCTACCCACTAGTAATTTCGGTGTCTGTTGGCTTGGCAATAGCCGCTTTTAGCCTCGCTCGCCACGGATTGTCCGACCCTGACGTCAACTTGAGTCGTGACCGCCGTGAAACACCAGCGTGGGAGCGGTACAAGCCTGAGGAAGGGCAAGCAATCTCGCGCAACCGCCACCACCTCGCCACTCTCACGCCAAACCCAATGGACACGTTTCCAGAGGCGCATCAGCTTCAAGAGAAAATTGATGAACCGTTCTTCAAACAACTGCTGGATTCGATTCGGTCAGCTTATGAGTAGTTGCAGCATCTATCTTGAAGATAATTCTCCCAAAATAAGTGAATGTTTTGAGTTTTACTGCTACCACCTTCGGGCATAGAGCTGTACCACGTTGTTTCTTTTCAATGGTAGCAGCGTATGGAATTGCTTGATAAGACAGAAGATCGGTTGTATGGTCCATTTTCTTTGAATTTTTTTCTATAGCGTACATTTTAAACGGGATCAAGTTGGACAATAACAATGTGAGCTCTCCAAGCGGGCTAAACTTCAAAGCTATTTATAACAATTTCGAAAATTATTGTGGCTTCTGTGTAGCGTTGATTTTTAAACATTGGCTTCTTGAGATACACGTAACGGCTGATCTCCTATCTCACTGTGAAGTCTTGGGTCCACCCTAAATAATTGTTGGGTAATTGCGTTTTCACCAGAAAGTGCGTATGAACCCGGGTCACCGGCACATTTCGTCCAGTTTCACATGTCACGAAGAATTATTGCGGGGTGATCACCCATCAGGGCCAAACCCCACTCCAAGTATCATTCCAGAATTTGAAGACCAGAGAACTGGACACGTTCCAACATGAAGGCTTCTCTCGCTCGTATGCAGAAGCTCGTCCATGCCCAGGCAATGGTGGAGCAACCACGAGTGCTTGTACCGATACCAGCCGGCCCAAAAGCCAAGAAGAATTTTATCATGGTGTCTTCACGCGACGCTGAAATCTATCCGCTAGTGGTTTCAGTGTCGGTTGGCCTTGCGATCGGCGCTTTCAGCCTCGTTCGCCACGGATTGTTCGATCCAGACGTGAACGTGAGCCGTGATCGACGCGAAACGCCAGCGTGGGAGCGATACAAGCCCGAGGAAGGGCAAGCATTCTCGCGCAACCGTCACCTCCTTGCCAATCTTAAGCCTAACCCGGTCAACACATCTCCAGAGGCACGCAAGCTTCGAGAAGGAGCCGATGAACCGTTTTTGAAGCTTCTATAGGAACTCGATGGTGTTACATGACTAATGTGTAACGGCTTACCAACACGAACATATTCAACTAAAACAATAAGTCGAGTGTGAAAACTGCGTTACCAATGCAGACTTGCCCAGAAAGACGATTTTCTATGAGTTGATTGAACAGACCGATGATGATTGCTCCCGCCAATGAGTTTTACTGTCTCCGCGCAGATTTATTTTTTCCAAGAGTGTGTTTTACTCAGGCGAAATCGTTATTATAACAAACGGGCAGGAATTGTATATTGGTATTGTTGTAATTCTACACCAAGGTCCATCCATCTTCTTCACCTTGGGCACAGGAGCAAGCGCGTAGTCGTAACGAAAAATTGCCGATAGAGAGCCCATTCAGGGCTACATGTCGGTCTGCACCCACATGAGCATCCACCATAACCAAGGTCAAGCAAAACTATCAATTTGCGAGCTATATATTTTTTTTTAAGTATATAGATATGTATAATATATCCTGCCAGCCTGCTGCGATTGACCCTCTGCATTATTAAAAGGCAGTCCTCAATTAGAATTACAAATAACGAAGCCGAGGCCACTGGTACTTGCGACGCAACTCACCGTCAAATACATGAAACAAACATATTACATATTAGAAAACTTTCGTTGTATTTGGTGAGCGAAACCCTTGACCCAAAATTCTGACGTCGCGCGGCGGCGTCAAAACTCACCAAAACTTTAATAGCTGCGAGCATTACTGCTTGCTTATCAGCACCAAATGATTTATGGCGCGGCAATGGCTGAAACCGAGATTTTGGTATAACTTTAGGTTTGTCGGCTTAAAAATATGTATTTTTGTCCATTTATCTAGCCGGGAAAACAGAGGTTCCGAAAAAATCGTACGAAGTAATCTATCCAAGCGTACGTAGCTGAAAGTCAAACAAAATTACGGTAATAGTAGCTTTGTGCAAAATAGTGTATTACTATAAAACCTATAATTGTGGCGCTGGGGAAGTACGTTAGTACCTCCACCCTCAAACTTAAAGATCGTTGGTGATTAGCTCTTCTTCGTCGGAAAGGCTACTGGCCGTTACAGGTTCTGATGGCGAGACGTCATCGACGATCACCTATAGACACACATTTTCAATGCAATGTAATTGGTAAGTCATACGTGAAATTAATGAAAGTCAGTCAAGCACCTTCAAGTAGCATCTGTTTGAAGGCGCTGCAACAAGTTAAAGGTGCATAAAAATAAATTTTGAAAAACGTATTTTTAAATTTTTATTTCCCACTTGCATTTAATGAGGGAGATTCAAATAAAAAACCGACCAGTCGGGAGAGGCGACCAGCCCACGAATGAATAGAACAGACGGCGGTATAACCTCGCTTAGTTATCGTCCCCTTTTTCACAATTCCATACGTAATGGCCATCCTTATGACCATATCATTGGTTTTAACGTACCCCTGGCTTGAATTTGATGCGTCCGGATACGAGTTGCAAATCAACTTGCATCCTATCGCATTTTAAAGCATCTAATTTTAGCTTGCCCTCAATTACATGTCCTATAAAAAGTTCTAGTAGCTTTTTGTCAAAGATTCTGTAAAACCTATGATTATTAACTATTAATTATGCCCCTTCCCCAAAGTTTGAACAATTCAGGTCGGACTTACAGCCTAAAAATAACCTTCCTCATAACCCCCCTCCCTATTATAGAACCTCCCCGCCCTGAAATTATCAGATGTCCTCTGCGGAACCAAGGCAGTCTCTCTGTTGTGTATATAGTGCAGATTAGGGTATCATCATTATAGACAGGGCTGGGATTTTCTCCTTTCCATCAATAGTCCATAATCATTTTGCGGACCCCTGGTTCAAGCATCAAGCTGACGTATCGTCATCCACCAGATAAGGCCCTTCATCAGGAATCGAATCGCCATTGTCCTTCCCACATGGAGTGGTGGGTTTAATATAAGGTCAGAAACAAACAAGGTTGCGCCACTGGAAGCAAACCTTGACAGGTAGTGACGCCAATAACGTCTCAAGTGATTTATTTTACCTCGTTTCTCGAAGTGCTTGAAATCATACATTAGAGTCCCAAATGAAGGTAGGATTGGCCAACACCTAACCTCAACACGACATCATAAACCAAAGGAGCTTTAAACAGAATTTTGGTGTCCGTCTCGGTGAGCTGCTTGGATTTCGAATTCAACGCGCTCTTTAAGAAGTTTTTTTTATTGACATTTGTTATCATCCACTGTGTGTACTGCCTATCCTTCAAGTGTGCTACAGTCAGTTTTGAATCAAGAAATGCCTTCGCTTTGTAAAAAGGTACGGCAACCCCTTTTTCCCCATGGATCTGGGAGCGCCTCGAGCATTGTAGATGCAGCTCCGTCCTCATTCCGACCGTGGGACGTTCTCGCGAATCCAGGCCAAGCTTCAAACACTGGACTACCAAGAGGAAAAGGGTTGCTAGTGGTTAGCTCCAATTTCTTGTAGACGTCGACGGGCGATAACTTCTGGTTTATTTAGCCCACGAACTGCTCAAGCTGCAACTCTTTCGCCAATACCTTGGTCGCTTCCGACGACGCTTTCGATGTTTCGCCTTTTCGTGTAGCTTAGTCACTGGAGCTTGTCCATATTTGGTTGCAAGCACTTCGGCCGTGGTCGTGACCTTTTGGGGTTTCTCGTTGTTGTACATAGCGGTGTAGTGTAGCAAGACGCTCAACTTGGGTTTGGTCAAGAGTGTATCCACGTTCTTCCCGAGATCAAGACTCTTGAGCGTCTTCTCTGAGCTTTTGTTTACTAGCAGATACCAACTCAGCAGACCCTTGTTCGATTTTGTCAACTGTGGCATCGCGGCCTTGATCGCTGTTTCGAGGGCTGAAACAGGAGCCATCCTGCATTCTTCGCCACCTAGTCTGAGGAGCCTTCCAGCTGTCTCGCGGCTCTGGTCGAAGCGACTAAGCGACAAATTAAGCGGGTACGCATGAATGGCGGAGCAGGAGCATTGTAGACCGTAAAGGAAAATAAATAGTTGACGCAACAAAATCGCTGTTTGGAAGCGCATGGTCGCTTTGAGGATTGAGTAAAAATGACTGATATACCTTAACCATTCACACAAACATATGTGGGGCAAGCCGCTTATGCAAATTGCACGGTACAGTACATGTAATATATCGAAGACACCCCACCCTATTGCTATCCTTTGTAAACAAAAACATTAATTTCAAATCTCCACATAGTGGTCTGATACCGGGTATAAAGAGACAGAACAATTTAAAATGCAATACCGGTACATGTACACCATTTCCCGGCCAATTTACAAAATTTACCAATCAAACTGCAAAGTGTGAAAGAATGGTGTTTTGTGTCCAACAATAAAAATGCATTTTTCATGTTTTGCAAGTTGGATGGGTACACTTTTCAGTCAAAGTGCAAACAAGTTTTGGCGCGAATTTCCAGTAGCGTCCAAGCCAACCACGCCACACAAGCGCGCTATTCTGCTCATTTTAAAAGATGCCATCTCCTCCACAGCCCAACAAGACGAATCGTGCCTTCGAGCGAGCTCAAGCCAAGGCTCGTGTCGTGCGTGCCTACCAGGAGAATCAGAATTGGAGGGATGTTGCCAAGGCCAACGATGTTAACTATTTTATCGCGCGTCGCGCTATCCTCAGCGCTGGTCAAGAGCCCAAACAGCGCGGCGGCTTGCGACAGGCTTCTGTCAAGATGACTGTAGAGGTGATGAGCAAGCTTGAAGAATATCTCGATGAGGACTGCCGTATGACGCTGGGGCAAATGTCTGACCGTGTGCAAGCCGAGCTGGGCGTCACTGTAAGCACGACGTCCGTTCATCGCGCTCTTCAGGGCATGTTGTACTCGACGAAGCGCTTGCGCATCGAGAAGGTGACCATGAACTCTGCTGCCAACAAGGAGAAGCGCAAGAACTTTGTCGTGGAGCTGAATAAACATATCAAGAAAGGTAACATGATTGTGTTTCAGGATGAAAATAACTTTTATTTGTACCTGTCTCGGAATGAGGGCTGGGCTCGAGTTGGAGAACGTGCTGTTGTCCAGTTGCCGCCATCCAAAGGCAAGAACCTCCACATCCAAGAAGGAGTTTCAAGTGGCTCTGGTCTGGTTCTGCTAAAAACCCATGAGGGGTCTGTGAAGAAGGCTGAGAATGCCAGGTTCTTGGCAGACCTCTTCATCGCTGCTCTTCGATCCGAAGAGTACGCGGCGCTTCAACCGGACAAGGTTGTGATTGTCACGGACAACGCGCCGTCTCACAGCGACGTCGAGATCCTCGTGGTGTAGCGGGATCAGCAAAATCTGCGAGATTGCCAGATCCAACTTACCAACTGCGCCCAGACACCGACTAACGGAGGGGGTCCCCCGATGATCCGTTTTCTGCTGAACTTTCCTCACCTTGTGTACCCGTCGGTAGGGCGGGATCTTGCTCTCTCGGTAACTTCCGAAGATTTCAAGTGGTGAAGCTTGAGTGTCTTGGCGAGACGTGGGGATGGGGTGGAGCAGCAGTGAAAAATCTTCACTCTGCGTCCGTGGATTGTTCCGAATCCTAAGCTAATATTCGAGCTTATGAATCCGGGGCCTAGATCGTGAATCTGGCCGTAGGGTTGCCTTGCGGGTGTTTTCTTGCCTTTGCGTTCCTTTGCGTCGTACTTGCCGCCTCCTGTGACGGGATCTTGAGAGTTGAAAGCCTCTAGGGTACAACCGACCAAGTAGTAAATTCGGTTAACCCGTCGGATCTGCACGTGTATGGGAAAGCTTACTAGGTTGTAGGAACTGGCCAATGTATTATCCAGTTATCACTACCAACACTAGATTCGCAATTCCCAACCTTCTCCGAGCTCGTACGGCCAATGTAGCTCCGGTTCTTGCGGGCAGGAAGGCACTTGCGTGTTATGGTGCAAATGAGGCTCTGTATTGATATTTAAGCCTATACCTGCCTGGATTTCTACCTTCTATGTCTTTCATCTGCTAAATCCCTTACCAGGCTCGGCTGCATGTCCCTTCTTCCCTTGACCCATCATCCCAGCTGTATTATCTTCAGATCCACCGGATCCATGACGTAATCATCATGGTCACCCTATTATGGGTACACTCATCCGGATCCATGTCGCTTGGATCCACTTCACTGTAATTGTACACTCGCCGTGGATCTGTGCTCTCCAATCGTCCAACATCATCTTGCAACCGTCTGTGACCTCCATTGTCCCACGAAAGTTCCAGATCCACTGCATCCCTCATCCCTGTACCCTGGATCCAGGTCCTTCTATGCGGGATCCTCCCTCCTTGGATCCGAACCCGGAAGTATGGGATCCGGGGTACCTCGCGGTGGATCCTGACTTCTCGTTAGCCGTGGCTACTAGATCCACCTTCGGATGGCACCTACCATCATTCCTTCATAGGATCCACACTCGATCCACTGGTACATAGTATATCCCATATCCACCTAAGTGAATCCAGGTAAGGGTAGATCCGAGGTAAGTCTTGGTGGATCTTGCCTTTCCGTACATCGCTCATACCAGATCCATCGTCATTCCATACGGGGTGCCGCTCGTCATGGCTAATCCACCACAGGCAACTTGCACCCGTGCCAAACAATTGAAATTGTCACTGATTCGGGATAGTGACCG